ACATGGAAATCATGTGTCTTTAAACTATTTAACTTGAGGTCTTTCATAGACACAAGTCTTCTAATATCTGAAGAGTATCCTTCTGGAACTTTAACTTCACTTAGAAACTTACACAATATCTTTTTCTCCTTTCTAGATAGAGTAAAAGCAGCAGGTGGTAGATATGTTTGGCTTCTTTTCTTCACGGGTCCTAGTTCAGTTCGTATTCCCATCTTTAACATGTCCTCCCTTGCTTTAAGGCCATCCTTAGACTTTCCTTTAATATTAAGTAACGTACCAATAACACTTTCAAATACATTTTTTTCAATATGCATAACATCGAGAAAATGTCTCACATACAGAGACTTCCAATATGGCAATTCAAAAAAAAGCGATCTCTTCTTCCACCCACCTTTGACAACCGTATGCGCAAAAGGCTTACCAAACTGAGTACACACATCTTTCACCTTTTCAAAAATTTGGTCACCTAACAATGCAGGTGGAGCTCTACGTTGTCCGGTGTCTCCATTGAATGCTTTTCTCCATGCACGGTAGTGATTTTTAGAATGTAAGAATCTACGATGACTGAGAAACACATTCTTCTGACAAAGTTCCAAATGCGTCGTATCGGTTCCATCTTCACAAACAGGATACGCACGTATGCTGGAAAATCATTAATTGTGCCAAACAACATCGCCCTCAAATTGAAACTTTGTTTCCTATATCCATCATAAACCTTCACCCCGTTCTCCCACAAAATCTTTAAATCTTCGATCAAAGGTGTCAAGTATACGTCTATGTCATTCCCTGGTTGTTTAGGCCCAAATATTAACATAGATAACATCATGTACTTAGGCTTCATACATAGCCATGGAGGTGGGTTATAAATCATAAGAATCACAGGCCATGTGGTATGTGAGATACTTTGAAGACCATGCGGGTTCATTCCATCAGTAGATAAAACCAAGCGAAGGTTTCTTGCTTCTTCTCCAAAATCAGGATAATCATTATCAATTTTCGACCACTGTGGTGAATCTGCCGGATGTCGATACTTTCCATCAATAATTCTTTCATCAACATGCCAAGTAAGGTGTCTTACATCGGTTTCACTACGAAACATGCACCTACATCTCAGAATTATAGGAAAATACCATAAGACTTTTGCTGGAGACAATTTTTTCTTATATCGAGACAAACCACATTTAGGGCACTCATTTAACGATGCATATTCGTTTCGAAACAAAAAGCAATCATTTGGACAAGCATGTATCTTATCATAGCTCATGCCAATAGATCACAACATTTTTTTGGCCTCATAGGTTCGATTAGGAAGAACATTATCCTCCGGAAGCATATCTCTCATAAAGGCTAATAACTCTGTGAAACTTTTATCTGACCATCCATTGCCCGCCTTTAAGTTGTATAACTTTAATACCGCAGACAGTCTTGTGAATTTAGTGCACCCTTTATACAACGGTTTCTCTGCATCGCTTACCAATCTCTCAAACATTTTGGGACAATCCTGAAGATCTTCTTCAAGTGCATCTGCAATCTCTTCGACTCGATCAAAATTGTATGTATTTGTGTCCTTGTCGTCTGAAGCATAGGCCATACTACTTTTCTCCCTAGGTTCAACGTTGTCGTTACTTTTTTCACCGTGAAATATCCAACACGTATAACTTCTATCAATTCCACGCATTAGTAAATGCGATTTCAATCCATCTGCATTAACTCGACCCACATAACAACAACCCAAGAAAGGACACTTCATTCGACTGGGGTCTTTGGCGTGTTCAACAACAAACTTAACGAATTCCAATACCCCATTCTCGTACTCTTGTGACAATCGATCGGCAAACATCCATTTTTTATCCATTTTTTCTACTTATTCAAGTAAACAAAAACACTATAAACAAATTATTCTCTTTTTGTTTGAATTAAACGAATTATTTCTAGAAAGAAAAGGGGCTATTGGTGTCGACGGCGGATGATGCGGCTTTGATGTTCTTCGAATCGGTGATGGTCTTCGACTAACTACACCAATACAAAGGGATCATAAAAAACAAGTTGTATATATATATATATATATATATATATATATATATATATATATATATATATATATATATATATATATATATATATATATATATATATATATATATATATATATATATATATATATATATATATATAGGTTCAAAATACTAGTAACAAAATACTAGTTCATGGAAAATATAAACATGATAAACAATTCAGAAACCAATTAAAATAACAAAAAAACCCATCATATATATCATTTTTTTATTCCAAAACATAGAACCAAAGGAAAATGCAATAATGCTAAATGCTAAAAGTGTTGCTGTTATATATCAAGCCCTACCAAGAACCCATAAATCAAAATGCATACATATAACTCAGTTTAGACATCAATAGGAGGATAATGTCTTAGATGTTAGCATAGTACATTATCAATAGGAGGATAACTCAGTTTGGACATCAATGGAGATAAAGACATTTTCAAGAAAGAACCTACCTTGAGAACCGACCGGTGTGGGTGGAGGAAAACCGAGAGAGATGGTGGAGGACGAAGGGGGGCTGGTACGACGGCGAAGGATTTACGGTTTCGGTCCAAGGAGGGAAAGGGTTATGCTTACTATTCAAGGAGGGAAAGGGTTACGCTTCTGTTCGTGAATCTGTGAATACACTGATTCTATTTTTTTTTAATTTTCATTTATATGGGTTTAGACAGCGCTTTCTAAAAGCGTTGGCTAATATGGACCTATAGCAGCGCTTTTGAAAAGCGCTGGCTAATAGGGTCCTTTAGCAGCGCTTTTCTGATATTTTTTTAAATAATTTTTTATGACTTTAGACAGCGCTTTCTTAAAGCGCTGTCTAAAGTGGACCTTTACCAGCGCTTTTGATAAAGCGCTTTCTAAAGCAATACTTTAGCAGCTCTTTTTAAAAGCGCTGTCTAAGGTCATATTTTTAGCAGCGCTTTTATTAATTATTTTATACAATTTCCGTGTTTTTTTTAATTCACTTATAGCAGCGCTTTTGTATAAAAGCGCTGTCTAATGTGCGCTGTTAAAAATCACTTTTGGCATAGTGATACACTGAGTAGTATCAGATATATTTTTCTTATCTGCTTTGTCAAAAATTGTTTTGTATTTTTTCAAGTTGCATCATGAGCATACATGTCTTGAAGAAAACACAATAGAGATGACATACAACTCTGAATCAAAGAATATAATAAGATAAAGAAAAAGCATAGTAGTGTAAGGATCCAGAAACACCAGAAGTATATGACAATAATTCAAAAAATATAGCTAAAACCTGATAAATTACCAGACCGACCAAGTCAGTTGAAACCTTCAAACCACGAAGTTGACAGTTGTTTAAGCATAAAGGAAAACTTTTGGGCGGCATTACAACAATCTTTCAACATATTCTTTCTCCAACTTCATTCCAGGAATGCCAATAAAGCTATTACCATGCTTTAGTTTCCAAACTCTCATTTCTTGCATTGATCTTCTCTGTTTACTCGTATTCTAGACCGACAACAGTCTTAACAACTTCTTCAACAGTGATATTATGTATTTTACAATCAAGGGTTAGATCAGTATCCAACAATTTTAGATGTTTGATTATTAAGATATGATGTTACTGATTCAACAAATGTGTGGTTTTTCCATTGTCACCAAAACAAAAATCAAACCTATCATAAAAAAGAATTACAATGTGACAGCTTGAGCAGCTCCGATGAGAGTATTTGGCAATAATGTATACCACATGATCATCTAAATAATACCTGAAAAGCCGCAATATATGAAGAATAAAGCTGCAACATAAGATTCACTGCAACATAAGATTCACTGCAACATTTCAACAAAACATAGTTTGTACCCATTAAAAGTCAGTTTGATAAATAAGTTGATAATGAATTGCAGAAAGATTACTGAAAAATCAGTTTGAATGCATCTAAATAGATGATAATGAATTATAGTAACATTAAAAAACATTAAAGATATTCAATCGTTTCAAGGCCATATTCAAAACTAACAAAATTTATAGGCACCAAGAAACACCCACTTCAAATATAACCAAAATTAACATGCAGGAAAAATTGAATGCATAGACTTTATCAGACACTAACCTGGACCTTCCAAGATGAATCTCAGCCAACATATTCAATTTCCCCACATTCGCAAGGGTTGGATCCCAATTTCTCACACATCCAATCCGCCCAGAGTTTGAAGCTTCTTAGAGCCAATTATCAACGACATAAAACTCTGCCCGTTAGCAAACTCCTTCCAACAAATCGATTTCAATGAAGAACAACCATAACTATTACCATAAACTGACGCGACACAGCGGAGCAACTTTTTTGATCTCCAGGTCCAGAAACTGGAATATCCCAGCCAAGCACTCATCAGGAATTTCCTCCGTATAATCATACCATGAACCTCCATTAATGATATTGTAAAATGTGAGAATAACATGAAATGAAAAGAGAGAAGAAAACATATTTTCTTGAAATCCACTAAAGCCCTCGCCCGTTTCGCTCCAACATTTGAAATGATGAAAATTTTTGTGGAATTGAAAATGACAGACATTGGTTTATGTAATAGTTCAACTCTCTAGACTGAAAAAACTCAAGGATTAATGAAAAGTTGAAGCTGCTGGTTAATTGCAAAATTGCAAGGTGACTCTTCATTTTCCATCTTTATACATGTACGTGAAAGAATTAGTGTTAGTGTTTAGGTTCCAAAAATTCAAAATGATCATTTAGTTACTGGAATAATAATAACAATGTGTATTTAGTGATTAAAAAAAATAAAAATTATAACAAATCGTGATATAATGACAATGTCAAATCAATGTGGTGATAATAGTGGTAAGAAAATCTAATTTATCATTATCTTTAGAATTAAATATTAATTTGGATTGGACGGGTAATACTTAGATTTTGAGATATTTTAATTTTTATAAATAGATAATAGATAAATAATAGATGGATTAGGACCCATTCTCTAATTCCTGGAAGTCCTTGATGGGTAGACCCTCCCCACGTTTCAAAAGGTTTGCTAGTTGTTGGCAAATTTGTAACCTCCCTAAAAAAAAACAAGTGAATTTTGTGGAGAAAGATGAATTTTGCGTGACACAGCAACAAAACCCGCACCTAAAAGCATCTCTCACATGTTATTGCACCTTTGTGTTTGTGGGGACTTGCCTTTTATTGAAACAAAACTTGAATAATACGCACTCTCCCATATCAAATAAAAAAACGGCAGCGTTTCATGTGACTAGTGTGTTTATTTACTGAGAATAAACAAATCATTAAATTTAGAACAGGAGCAGTTAATTTTTTAGATCTGGAGTTGGATCTAGGAGAAATGAAATTCTTTCGGTAACTCCTAATCTTTTCCTTCTATGCGATTTCAGCGTGATAGATTCTATTCTGAAATTAATTTAGTACTATCTGTTTTTTTTTTTGGTTAGGTTTTTTATACCAAGAATATGCTTCTGAAGTTATGTTTATAAATTTGTTGGATGAATAGTTTGAAGAAGTTGGGTTCTGTTTTATGGTTTTTGTTTCCCTGAAAGTTTGAATTTTTAGGGATTTAGAGAAAGATGGCGACTGGGAGGTTTTGTAAGGATGAAGAAGATAAGGCTATGTTGGAATCTGTATTGGGTACTGATGCTGTTGGATTTTTTAGTACAGCGGTTTCCAAACATGTTTTTTCTGATGTTATTGTTCCGCCGAATCTGGATTCGGGTATTCATAAAAGGTTGTGTCATATTGTTAAGGGTTCCAGGTGGAATTATGTGATTTTGTGGCAGGTTGCGGGTTTGAAATCGGGTGGGTATGTGTTGAAATATGGGGAGGGGCATTGTCAGGATCCGGTTGGGGGTCCGAGGAATGAGCAGGAAAGAGAGAGAGATGAAGTTAGGAGGAGGGTGTTGGGGAAAATTCATGCTTCGTGGGGTGGATCTAACTCGATTGAGAATGTTTATAAGAAGTTGGATGATGTTTCAGATTTGTATATGCTTTACTTGACTTCGGTTTATTATGTGTTTGGTTTTAATTCTCAGTATGGGCCTGGAAGTTCGTTTAAGTGTAGTAAACCGACTTGGTCTTCTGATGCAGGGAGTTGTTTAAAACAGTATGAATCGAGGTCGTTTCTGGCTAAATTGGCGGGTTTTCAAACTGTTGCTTTTGTGCCTCTCAAGGCTGGGGTTGTTGAGCTTGGTTCGATGGAGATGTTGCCTGAAGAGCAGGGTTTTTTGGATATGGTCAGGGCAACGTTTGGAGAAGCTACTTCTGGGCAGGCTAAGGTGGCACCGAAGATCTTTGGGCGTGAGTTAAGCTTAGGGGGAGATGCGAAGTCTCAGTCCATTACTATTAGTTTCTCCCCGAAGGTGGAAGATGATTCTGGTTTCACTTCTGACTCTTACGAAGTACAGGCGCTTGGACCGAATCATGCTTATGGTAATTCTTCGAATGGCGGTGTAGGAGACATTAATGAGGCAAAAATGTACCCTCAATTAGGTCAAATGGTTCCTGGGAATTTCACTTCTCAAGCAAGAGTTTCTTCTATAGATTTGGTTAATGAAGAGTCATCCTCGCCTCTTGGAGACGAGCGGAAGCCTAGAAAAAGAGGGAGAAAGCCTGCCAATGGACGAGAGGAACCGCTGAATCATGTTGAAGCAGAGAGGCAAAGACGAGAGAAGCTTAACCAGAGATTCTATGCTTTAAGAGCCGTTGTTCCTAACATTTCTAAAATGGACAAGGCTTCTCTACTTGGTGATGCTATCACCCATATCACCGATCTCCAGAAGAAGATCAAGCTTTTGGAAACTGAGAAAAACATGGCTAAGGGCTCACAGTTGCCATTGCAAGATATTGATTTTCAGGCTAGACAGGACGATGCAGTTGTGAGAGTGAGTTGTCCCTTGGATATTCACCCGGTTTCTGGAATTGTTAAAGTGTTGAGAGAACATCAAATTGCAGCTCAAGAGGCAAATGTTTCAACTGCACAGGATAAGGTGATTCATACTTTCTCCATCAGAACTCAAGGAGGGGAAGCAGCTGCTATACAGTTGAAAGAAAAGCTTGAAGCATCTTTATCAAAAAATTAGTGGTGAAAGTATAGTTATTATGTAGTGTATATCTCAATGCAAACTATGTATGTATTGTTTTTATGCTATAGCTGACATCACATGCCAGAAATTCTAGGAGTATAGTCTAAATTGTAAGATATGGAGCTAGAAATCTTTTTGAACTTCCCAAAATGATTAATCTGTCATTGATTATCTCCGAGCAAATGCATGATTCAATGCAATATACTATGAACTTGTGAAGGTTTTGTGCGAATAGTTTGCAGTTTGCAGTCCTTCCCTGTCGTCTTGGAATTCAGCCATAGATTTGAATGCTTTCACCACCATAGGATCTAGGAATTCAGCCATAGATTTGAATGCTTTCACCGCCATAGGATACGGACGTTGCGTCTGTCTTGGCTCCACATGTTATTGGTTTTAAAGTAACTGTTGCAATATGCTGATGCTTGCACAGTAGGGGGATTGTGTTTATAGATGCCAGTTATTACTTGCTTGTTCCAATGTAAATTTCATTCTTTACTTCTTATTCGCGGATAAATTAATTTATTATTTACTTTCTTAAATTGATAAGTACTGTAACTTTTATGATCATTATTCATCTGACTAATTTTTTATTTTTAAAGTTGTTGATTTATAAATATCAACATTTTATTTACATTTTGAAAGAAAATACAAATAAATATTCAGTTAGCAATTGTCAACTGAGCTACCTCCAGACACCCTTCATATAACATGATACATTTCCTTTAACAAGTTTTGGCAGAGAAAACATGTTCCACTGTGGGAGAAAATTTCTCAATCTCTCTCCTCATATGATCAATTCTACTAAAATATGGTACTAAGCTTTTTAATGAATTGACACATTTTTGTGGGGATTGGGCAATCATCAAGGTTGAGAGAATGGAGAAGATTGTTCCAACTTCCAATGAATGAATAAGAGACAACTGTTCTATTAATAAAATAGTCAATTCAGTTTGTTAGTATCCTGTCAAATTCTCATAAATTTTAGTATATAAAATGGTTTTTAGATAGATATGCTGATTTGGGATTTTGTAGTTAAAACGCCTCCCCCAAACAAAAGGCCTAAGCATAACTTGGTTGGATCCGCTGATATTTCATATCGGACAAGATTAAATACTTAAAAAAAAGAGAGAATTTAACATGCCATTCCTTGCGTTATAAGTGACACCTCCATAATATGTGTGTTTTTATTGTTATACCTTTATTTAAAGTTATTGATTTTTCATAAAATATAGGTATATATCGGAAATTTCAAAATTCTATAGGAAAATTTGTAAAAATATACAAAAATACCGGTAATTTCAAGCAGAATACAAACAATTTTTGTTTTCTATGAAGAAATACCGACCATTTGGAATTTCCAATATAGACCGGTATTGCCACACCGGAAATGTTGAAATATCCGGTAATGTATCAAAAAGTTTTGAAAATTTTAGAAAATTCGGTGGATATTGAGGTATTGTTTTTTTTTTTGTATTAATTTTGTGAAATAAATAACCCATCAAAATAATATCCAATAAAATATATACATAAAATAGAAGATGTGTTACATATAGGAATATAAAATAAATAAATATGACTTTTTAACTTCGTCTTCTCAATGTTTAATGTGTCATGTATATGCTATTTCTCATGATTTTGCATTTTCAGTACAGTTCGATCGTCAACGACCAATGACAAGAGACAATGGACAATCAAGTTTCAATTTTATCTAAATCTAATGATTGTTGTTGACAAAACTAGCAACTGTGATTTTATGTCTACTCGTACATATAGGTGGAGCTACGGTAAGGAGAAAATATGATGTTAAGTTTCTTTGATAGGAAGACAAATATAACATTGTATCTATAAGTAATAGGGTAACTCATATCAAGAAGCTTCATCGATTTATACATATCCTACACACTTAAGGTAGCTTCTCGCAACACAATTTTAACAGTAGAGACATTGTCATATAAAAATTTGGAATACAATTGAGGGTGTTGACAAACTTGAGTATCTAATTGCATCTGAACTAAAGACCATGACTCTTCGTCCCATCCAAATAGAGCTGCAATAGCACGAAAACAACAATTTTCATCTTTACCAACATCAACAATGTCATAAATGTATGCATGTAAGGAATCAGGAAACTGAGACAAGTAAATATGTCTTAAAGATTCAATGGACGATTAACTTTCAGCCGACATACTTGAGAGTTGAATTTCAGTTAGTTTTGTGCATGATCTCTTTATAGTTTGACTCTCATGCGAGCCCTCAACATACTCCCACTATGAAGGATCATGATGCACATCACTCTTTTGACCTTATTTACTTTTCTTAACTCTTCTATTTGGCCCGTACTTCAGTGCGATGGACACATAAGTATTGTGGATGAATGTGTTAGTTCCCCAACCTTTTTCTTCAATGCCTTCAAGCCTACAATATCCAAAATAGTAAACTATATATTCAACTATTCACACTCTTCTTCTAAATCCAATTATGTACCACTATCTTCATGAGTGACCTCATAGTCTTTAATGTGTAATTTCTTCTAAGATATATCAATTGATTCTAAAGAACATGATAACCTTGTATTTGGAAATCAGCAAGTTGACACGCATAGGGTAACCCATGTGTTGTTCTAATGAAGCAACCATATGCATCTTAGTTGGCACCAACAAATTTTATCCTTTCCAGCTCCATTCTAATGTGTTGTATACACTATCTTGAAACGAAATTGTGCAATCTGACGTAGAATGAAGTGTTATATTGATGCTCAATATTGACAATAATTTTTTAAAACGACACTTTGATTGAACCTAGCTGCAATTTCAACATGGTGTTCACAACATCCCAACTTCGACATAAATCTTCACGGCTCGTAGTCAATATATTTTTTAGTCTACAACGAGCATACTCCACCCTTAAAATCATAAATAGAAATATATGTTAAATTATATTTAGTAATGTAATAACATTAAACTCAGATCCATGTACCTGTTTGTTGTTGTTTTTATTAAATGAGTGACTATATTAGTCCAAGCATCAACAAACCATTCTTTATAAGGTGTCAACCATGCTTCACTCATGTACTTAACAAATAAAGGAATATCAGCACAAACAACCTCAAAGTGTTTCAAGTGTTTCACAAACTCAATTTCTCTATTCAAATGCTTGATATTGTTCTATAAATCCATGACATGTTCTTGCCTTTTTTATTTAACATACTCCTTACACTTCATACTAACGTTTTTTTTTTATAAAATATAGAACGAGCACAACAAATGAGTTGAACTTGGAAACACAACTTCCATGACATTCATCAACACAAGTTCTCGGTCCGTCACCACAACCTTTGGCAGCAAATTCTCTGAAGAGAAGAACTCTTTTAACTTCTCTAGTGCCCATGTGAAGTTCTCATCCCTTTCATGTTCCAAATAGGCAAAGCCAATCGAAAACATCAACTTCATTGACGTAAAACAAACAATCTTAAGTAGTGGCAGTCGGTACCTATAGGATCACGATGTACAATCACTAATCAACAGCTGACCAACAATCAAATAAATCAAAATTTGCAATTTTAAATGATCGGTAACCATTACCTATTTGTTTTGTATGTGCAATAAAAATCTACTCCAAATGAAACATATTCAACAACTTTAGTGAATCAGGATGTGTCCAAAAGATATCAGCAACAACATTTGAGTCGTCCCTATTTCTAATCCAGCACATGTATTTCTCTGCATGAATAAGACTCAACAACATTTTCATTTATGTTAATGGACCTCTCTTACTCGTATTATATGTAGCTCTAGCCTTATATACTTGGATAACACTCGTGAGATTTTCTGGATTTTTGTCTTTAAAAGTAGCAACTATGGACCTTGGAATCATATTGTACTTTATCATGCCATTAAAAACCGTCTTTAATGATCATTTAGACGACCCAGTATGTCATGACCATCTAAGTTTTTTTTATAGTTGGTGATTGTGCAACTCACACCTAACCATCACCTTCCAACCGCTACCACTTGACACATATCTCAGTCTAAAAGGACATTTACGTTTCATAATATAAATTCCTTATGAGGAACTATTGCTTTCAAATGTATTCTTTCTTTTGTAGTTTCATTCTCTCTCACAATCCATAATCAATTTATCTCTCGTCCCTTGCATCACATTTACAGTATCAGAACAAACAGTGACAATAATAATACCATGACGTTTACCAATTGACTATGCCCATGCTAATACTTCGTATGGGACGTGAATATATATCATTTATAACAGATAATGAGTAAACTATCAATATCGCAAAGACAAAAAAAAAACCTTTAAATTTTGAACATCTTAAAAAGAAAACATACAACTTCAGTGGTGAAGAACTGCGTATATATTATACAGAAATATGTAGATAAGCCTTTCGATTCTGCACCGCACAAGTAAAATGTTATTCTGCATAACCGAAAATTTTGAATATAGGCAAAATTTCCGATATACCGGAATTTGGGAAGTAACCGGTAATTTTAGATGTCTACCGGAATTTTCAAAACTTCCACTAACAACTTTTTGGTTTTTCAGACAATTATCAAAAATTTCAAGATTTTCAATATTTCTACACCAGAAATTAAAAAAAACTCGATAAATTTACATGTTTTTTTTTAGAATATGTCAGATTTCCTTATATTTCCGATAAAACTTTCCATAAAATGCGAAAAAAATCATACCGGAATTTTTTGTTTTAACTACCAATGATTTCAAAAATTACAGCCGAGTAAAAGTGATAATTTTTTGACCAAATATAATTTTTGGTTGGTAAATAATATTGACCAAATGTCTTTTTGTCAATATGTAAGCATGGTTGTCTGATATAACTTAAAATGGTTGCAAGATATAACATGAAAACATGCCATACAATCAAATAACTTGAAATGGTTGCAAGATATATATCTTTAGTTATCAAGAACTTGTTTGGAACATCACCGTATAATGAAGATGAAGGGGATATGTTTATAAAATAAATGCAATCATGAAAGAGTCACCCAAAAAATTCTAAGATAATTTAGCATTAGATAACATCGTTCTCACTTTTTCGACAATAGTTATGTTCATCCTCTCTATCACTCCATTGTGTTGAAGCTTCTTTGGAAAAGATATTTCATGCCAAATTCCATTACTAATTCAATAATTTTTAAAAGCTTCCATAAATTTTCCTCGGTTGTTCGTGCAAACACATTTTTACTTCATACCAGTTTTGCACGAACATCTTTATCTTGATGAGTTGATTTACCAATCCTTAACGGAAGCACTTCGAATCTCTCTATACTTGAGATTTACCCATCCTTAAAAATCTCTTAAGTGTTCGGAAGCACTTATAGTAGAGGCTTTATTCTAGAACATCGTTCTCTCGTACAAGATTTCTAGTTTCATCCATAATATGTACATAATTGTTTCTTGCGCAACATGATGGAAGTTCTACCATTTATTGGGAAATATATAAAAAATAATAACCTAATACAAGAAATATCAAGAAACTGTTTGAAGAACCTACGCACCAAGCACCTTCATGAGAGTTGAAGATAGTATTCCACTTGTAGTATGTCTTGTCGAAAAGAATGTTACGATGAACGTTGTTGTTGTTGTCATCTTCGTAATATGTTGCTTGGTTGAAAGAAGGATGAGATAAGGAGCTGTTGAGAGGAAAGCCATCTCCATTCAAGTTATGGTGCAATATATTATGAAATTCTCAAAATTATATATAGGCAAAAATATTAAATCTTGTGTCTATCAATTAATTAAGTCTCATTAATATGGCCAGTTAAATTAGAATTCTCAAAATCTTAAATCTTCTCGATATATATTTGATTTTTTTTAATGAGATATTAGCCTATTTAATATTTATACTTGATGATGATAAGATATAGTTATATTTGATTGTTTATAGTGCTTTAACTTCGTTTGTTTTTAATGGAAATCAGATAATATAGATTGTAAAAGATATAATCACGATATAAACAACATTAGTATAATTATCAATTTGGAAATCGGTATTGAATAATAATATCTTCTTTTATTAAAATCTATTACAGAATAATATATATTGCAAAAATATTATGGTAAGAGAAAAGCCATTCTCGTTCAAAGTTATGGTGTAATGTATTTGTGAGAGATTCTCAAATATATATATATATATATATATATATATATATATATATATATATATATATATATATATATATATATATATATATATATATATATATTGATCTTGTTAGAAAATATATAAGGATGTTTTGGGATGCACAAAAATTGGAAATGTTTGGTGGTTGAAGTGAAAATAGAAGGAATTCACGTCACTGACATAAAATTGGGATTTTTTTGGAAAAGTGCACTGTAACGATCGGTTGTTGTTTGGTGACAATCGATTGTTATTATAAAAAACGTGTTTTTTGGGCTGCAGGAAAGAACAATCGATTGTTGTTTTATGACAATTGGTTGTTAGTGTATCAGTTTTGAAAAATGATTTGTTTTGAATTATGACATGCCTTGACGTTTTATCTCATAACTTTTTAATTGTGTATCCAAACAATGAACCGTTTGAAGTTTTAGAAAACTAACACACAATGCTATAACATGATAGAGATAAGTGTATAGTTTGAGTATTATTACTATATATACTATGGTTGTGAAGTTGATTGTTTATATGTTTGATTGATAAATCGATGCATTATTGTGAGAGTGTCGTGTGATAATGATGTTGATATGTTGATTTTGTCATGATAATGTTGTTAAGGGTTTGATGACATGGCTGTGATGTTGAAGTGGTGTTGAACATGACTGTTAATTTGTGAGAATTATGTGTTGGTGTTACATGATTGTACGTTTTTGAATATGCATATGTTGAGTTGCTGACGTTGATGTTATTGTTGGTTATAGTAATAGTAACTAATGTTGCGTATGGTGTATGGTGTTATGATGATGTTGTATGTTTAAATATATGCATACTATTTTGATGGTGTTGATGTTGTTGGTGGCATACACGATTAGAAGAGGGACCAGTGTGTATGTGTTGTTGTTGCATGATGAGAGTCCATGCATTCATGTTGTCTGAACTTTGACTCTTTTTGGTGAGCCTCGATCCTGTGGAGATAGATCGGGCACGAGTAGCTAATTCCTGTTATGAGGGATTAGTGAATTGATCGCGAATTTATGTGTTTGTCGGGTGTAGTGAATGCAAGTGCACAGTCTTATCGCATAGTTTTAAAAGACATCGAACTCACAAGAACTGATAGTCAAACTACTATTATCTTAGGATCACTGTGTAAAGGCAAGGCTAATTATGAAATTAGGATGTTTGAGTTTAAACGGGAATTGACTAAAATATAATAATTAATAACGGGACACCGATATGTAATTTGTCAACTTCAAGGATTCAATAAGTCATTGGCATTTGTTTTGAGTATTAAAATACTGTTTCGGCGGAAACTATTTATTTAAAAACCCTCGTCTCACACTCTCGTTCTATCGATTCAGTCCATATTATTAAAACTCAAATGAGCGCTCTCGCTGTTCCATTTAAAATTCAAAAGTATTTTTTATAAACAAATAAAGTCCAATTAATTTTAAAGCGCTCTCGTTGTTTTTAAAATTAATGTTCAATTACCACTATTTGGTTAAAACCTCAAACTCTCGCTCTGTTGATTTTAACCTTAGACTGTCTTTTACTCTCGTACAAAAACAATTAAATATCCAATTTGGAAATCAAAACCAGAAAATTGTTTTTGTAAAATATTAATGCCAATTAATTACCGAATCTCTTCGGTTTAAGACTTCACATATCGGTATCGGGGAATTTAGCCAGACATAATTTTATTGCAGGATAACATAAAATTAAAATATAAATTTAATAACGCATGCATGGTAAGAATAAATAAATTATACTTAAAATAGGAACCTGAAATAAATACTTGAAGTAAAATAATTAAGCAATGCGTATCCTCCACAAGCCGGCAGGACTAACTTGTAATAAAATATCTCAAATTAATAAAAATAGACCTAAACGGATTCTGGAAGTTAGGAAGAAAACTAAAGTTGCAGTATTCCTCCAATGTGAAGAAATACTGCTTTAATTGTGAGGGTTTTCTATTGCTTACGGGAATTCTACAAAACTGGAAAACAAAATACCAAAAACTATGAAACTAGAATAATAAAACGAAAATTGTAAAACTGGAAGAATAAAAAATTACAGTAAGTAGAAGAAACAATAAAATTGGTGCAAGGCTTCGAACGTAACAAAGTTGGAAACTGACTTCAATTTATAAATTCCAAATGGTGAGCAAAAGTAGGAAGAATCCCCTTGATCCTCGTTCTTCAATCGTGGAGAAGTTCCAGCAAACTGTCAGTTCCGTTCGCTTCGTGGAGATATTTCCGTAGCAGTTATATGGGTTGTCACAAGCGTCATGCGCGTGTGACGTGGGGAACGTGTTTTGAGTTCGTGCTGGTCGGGACATGAAGTGTACCGAGGGGCACACTTTTGCAAGTTGTGATGGGCGGCATGCGCCTGTGACGAGCGACACGCTTCTAATACAGAATTGATGCGTTTTACTGCTAAATGGCCATTTCTTCTTCATTTCTCCATTGTTTTTCTTCCTTTTCTCATTTATGCTTTGCAAAAGCTAAGTACCTGAAATATGTTGCAAATACTACAAATAGAGATAAAATGTGACAAAATAAATGAGGAATCAGAAGTTTTATCTATGTAAATCGGGCGAAAAATGCTATAACTTTTCATGTTATCAAACTCCCCTAAGCTTGAACCTTTGCTTGTCCTCAAGCAATAGAGTCAGTATAAAAACTAATAAGGCACAAGTTAAATGCAAATTGACGATGCAGTTCGAATCGTAAGAGGT